TACCTGTCCAAGCCTGACGATGACAAATGAAAATTAGCTTAAAGGTACAAAAACAAGTCAGGTCAATTATTAATTTACTTGACTCGCTAAACTTCTACTATGTTCACATATTTGGTGTGTACTAATCTGCCATGTACACTACCTGGTACACACTATTCACCATGTATACATCTTGGTGCACACTATTCTACTCTGACCTCCATTTGAGAATAAAATTAAACCTCTATTCAATATTATAATCCATATATCACACACAATAATAATATAAAGTGACATACCTAAATATTTCTCTTGTATTTCTCGATTTATTTCCCATAATTTATTTCCCATAAGTCTGTGAATGACGAAAAAAGACATTATTTATTGGAACCTGACATTATGGACGTGTATGAAGCAAGATTTATATGACTCCACTATAATATAACTCGTATATCATAATAAACTTATCATATAACTATAGACAGAAACTTTTTTTTAACAACTTTAGTATCGTATAAAACTTTCAGAAATAAATGGCGTTATATATTATTTTCATATTATTATAACGTTATACAACTTTCTTATATAATTCCCAGCGTGTATGATATATAAGGCTTTTTCCTATATAAAGTATTATTCCCTTTCAATAGCGGATTTATCAATAGCGGATAGAGAGAGAGTCACGAATCAGTATAGTATAGTTTAGTTTAGGTTAAGTAAGGTTAGGTTAGGTTAGTTTAGGTGAGGCAAGGCTAGGTTAGGTTAGGGTAGGGTAGGTTAGGTTAGGGTAGATTAGGTTAGGGTAGGGTAGGTTAGGTTAGGTCATAATGTAAAACTTCAAAATTAGAGCACTTGAACCCTGGTGGTGGTGAGGGCTAGCTGGATAATGGGCGGTGGGGGGGGTGGGGTTAGTGGTTGGTAGCGGGTGAAGGGAGGTGGTGACAGGAGGGCAGCGGGTGGGAGGGTGGGAGGGGTTGGGTGCGTGATGATAAAGTCGTTGTCGGTGAAGTGCGTTATAAGCTTCCCGAAGGACCTAATACAGTGGTTGGTTGGCTTATATGCACCGACAGCTACAACAATATCAACTCCTCCGGGAAATTATAGTCCGGGTCAATTACAAATGACCCCTTTGTGACCTTGACCTTTGAACTACAAGCAGCACTTATGTTAAAAAAATAAAATCACGCAATGTTGATTTTATACACCATCCACTAATCTTCTTTCAACTTTTCAATCTAATGTAATTTTGAATAATTATCACGAATTCAAATTAAAAATCCAATGAGTAAATAAAGAAAATGAAGATGTTTATTATATGAGTTGTAATAGTATTATAGTTAACGTCACTTTAGTTTAGTGTCGTTAACCTCCGCTAGTGACCACGGGGTTAATGTCCAACTGAAGCCATGGATTCAATTTTTCTTCCTAATTTACGCTATAAAAATGCATCTAACTTGGTTGGATTAAGTTGAAACACCGAAAATTACGTTCAATATTTGCACCTCACCTAACCTAACCTAACCTAACCTAACCTAACCTAACCTAACCTGTGATTGAGAGAGACAAAATAATCATCAGTTTTAAAGACAATAACTTCAGTATTAAATTGAACTCAAAGAAAACCTATAATAATTTTTTTTAATGATATTTACATTTATGACGAAATACATTACGAAAACATGAAAGATTAATTATACAGTTTATCAATAATGCTAACAAGGGTTTTATTGGATAACTCAAGCACCTGTAAGCCTTCGAGTTAGGTTAGGTTAGGTTAGGTTAGGTCACCCCTGAACTACTACTTTAACAATCATACTCTATAAACTACAACATATCGCCACTCTCAGGTGATAGGGACGACTTTCTCTCTCCACCAGGTAGAAAAATCACCTTTATTGTACAATAATTACCTCTCAGTGCGTGCGTGTCCATTGTCTAAGGTCATGGAAGACTATTGACTTCTTCTTCTTCGTCTTCTTCTTCTTCTTCTTCTTTTCCTTCTTCTTCTTGACTTCTTCTTCTTCTTCTTCTTCTTTTCCTTCTTCTTCTTGACTTCTTCTCCTTCTTCTTCTTCTTTTCCTTCTTCTTCTTGACTTCTTCTTCTTCTTCTTCTTCTTTTCCTTCTTCTTCTTGACTTCTTCTCCTTCTTCTTCTTCTTTTCCTTCTTCTTCTTGACTTCTTCTCCTTCTTCTTCTTCTTCTTTTCCTTCTTCTTCTTGACTTCTTCTTCTTCTTCTTCTTCTTCTTTTCCTTCTTCTTCTTCTTTTCCTTCTTCTTCTTGACTACTTCTCCTTTTTCTTCTTCTTCCTTCTTCTTCTTGACTTCTTCTCTTCTTCTTCTTCTTGACTTCTCCTTCTTCTTCTTCTTCTTCTTGACTTCTTCTCCTTCTTCTTCTTCTTCTTTTCCTTCTTCTTCTTGACTTCTCCTTCTTCTTCTTCTTCTTCTTGACTTCTTCTTCTTCTTCTTCTTCTTCTTCTTCCACGTAATTACAGTAAGTATGAGGACGCCTTGGGAGTCAAAAACTTTACCTTCTCTTCGTGAATGAACCTGATTTAATTATTTTGTTGAAATGGAATTGCTGTATAGGTGTGTGTGTGTGTGTGTGTGTGTGTGTGTGTGTGTGTGTGTAACGAATGATAAGAATGGGAACTAAGCAATGATAAATGGTCCTATACGTTTGCCTGCATTACAATAGCTGTGAATGATGTTGTACTGAATCTTGACTATATTTATGGTAAGTGATTAATTCGTTCATTCCCTCTGTATGTTTAAGAATATATAGAAATGTTATCATAATTGGGATGTTTACTTTGAATTTGTTGTTATGGCTTTATCAGAAATTTGAGAAAAATAAAATACACACACAGACACACACAGACACACACACAGACACACACACACACACACCTTAATATTTACGGGGTAGTGAGAAATGTCTTTAATATCATAAAAATATTCCAAATATCCACCAAGGACCAGTGACTGAGTACTTATCACGTCTATATAAAAAAGTGTAATCATAAAAAAGTTAATATCTCAGAATATTAGAGTACGTCATGACAGCCCGTGAGGACAAACTTGAAATATTTCTCAAGTGTAATTTATTCTGCCCAATTTATTTCCATTGTAATAAACTAATCTTTACAACACCGAGTAAATCACACCTTACGAATACCTGGTGTTGCTTTACCTGGTACCTTGGTATGTCTTAGCTAACAACACAATGATAACAATAGATGTTTGATATTCTAGAGAATCTTGTTATGAACTTCAGTGCTGCGTTATTTTGAATTTCTAAACGATATTCTAAAGTTACGTTAATTTAATACCTTGTGGCGATGATATGGGTAATGGTGTTCCGAGACGTGAGCGAGAGAAGTCATCTTATATAAACAGTATGGTAACACCCCTAAGTTTACTGTATGTATTTTTATTTTATTATCCGAATAGTAAGCCTTGTGTAGCCGCCCCTGGGTTGGTTCCTGCATTCGCGTCCTGTTAAAAAAATTCTTACTATGTTAACAGCCAGTGTCGTTGTATTTGTTTAGATCTACAAGTCTAATTCAATGTTTACTTAAAATTTCAATCATGGGTTAGGATCATAAACAGGTGACAATATAGTAGTACCTTTCTGTTTTAAAATTGATAAGGTCAAAGGTCAAAGGTCAAGGTTATACAGCAACAGGTCAGTGTGATAAGACTTAAAAGTGATGGTTTTAGCGAAAGATGTTTTGTGAGAGTTGAGCTTTATTATTAAGTGAGACAAAGAACATAATATTTCCCGGTGTTCTGAAGTGCTACATGATAACTTTCTGAAATTGAACAAACTTGAATACTTATCAATCATCTCATTATCATTCATTTATTTACCCTTTCTCGTCAATTCACACTTTAAGAGAATTAGTGGTTAATTTAGGAGGATTTTTTTAAAGAATATATCCAAATTTTCCTAGGAGTGATTGTTGATAAGGTTAATATTCGTCCATTGGCTGTCCGCAGGTTCCCACCATGTTTACCCGAGGTTATACTCCTTACTTAAGAGTCAGTTGTCTCCTCCTTCCCTCCTCCTCCTTGTAGGTTAGGTTAGGTAGGTAGGTTGGTTGGTTGGTTCCTTTGGTATAAGAGTAGCTTTTTTATGGGTGTTTTACTCAAATTTGACTTCCATTTTTGTGCAAATTAGCTGTTTCTTTTAAAATGAAAATTATTTTTTTTTGCAAAAAATGCTGATTTGTAAAATAAATGAATGTCAGATTTAAGTAAGACACCGAAAACGTCAACAAAACCTATTCCCGTAAACCTGCGGACAGCCAATAGACGAATATTTACCGTTGATAGTAACAAGACGGAAGACTTTTTTCCTGTGTACCGCCGGCAAGGCCGTGTGCTCGTAACACTCGTCTTGCCCGCGGTGCCCACCGTTTCTCTGTGACTGTCGGTCACACTAGAATAACCCGCTATAGTACATCCTTCTTTCCTCACACAGCCAAACTGTGGAATACTCAGCCTTCTTCTGTTTCCATACTTATCAATTTGTCTCACTTTAAAAAGATGGTTTTCCGGCAACTTCGCGGTGTAGATTTACTTAAAACTTTCTTTTCTATTTTTAATTTCCATTTACTCTTATTTTTTCGCCCTCTAGGCCCCGTTGTGGGTCGGTGACCTGTGCCCGGGTGGGCTGTTCCCCGTAAAAAACTTAAATGGATTTTGTAATGTAAAAGAATGTTTAAATCAAATACCAATAGTATGAAAGACGATATTTTTTAGTCAATATATATACGAACATAATCATGATTGTCTGCTCCAATTACTCTTTATATACAAATTAACCGCTGGAAGAGTTTATTATTACATATCCACTTGTTCCATTTTCTCTTACGTTACAACACTGAAATATAAGTTAGTTACCCCTGATAAGCAGCCTCTCACTGTCATAGAAAACCTAAGGCATAACGTGAACTATTGTATTCTCTTGACCCTAAACTTGCTCATTACGCCCCTGGCTGATCCATATTGCCCCTGCAGACATGGGGATGGGGACGTTGCTGAGCACGTACCCGCGGGGCATCCACGATGCGGCCGGTGGCATGGTGGTGTCGGTGGGCATGACGCAGCCCCTGGTGGCCCCCATACAAGCATGGGCCAACCAATCCAACGCCTCCGACGGCCAACAATGGCACCCTCACGAGGAGACCAAACTGTCGCCATGGACCCTGAGCAAGAACACACACGCCTTAAAGGTGAGACGCACATTATCTTTTATTAATCATTGTTATTTACGAGTCACTAATCTTTATTTCTACCAGATGTGGGTGATAGTGGGGGGCCCCAACAGGGGGGGTCCATAGGGGGTCCTAGAGGGGGTCCATATAGAGGGGGGTCCATATAGGGGTGTCCACATAGAGAGGGTCCATATAGAGGGGGGTCCATATAGGGGGGTCTATATAGAGTGGGCCCATATAGAGGGGGCCCATATAGAGGGGGTCCATATAAGGGGTCCATATAGAGGGGGTTCATATAGGGGGAGTGGGGCACATCAAGGCTGAGAAAACTTAGAAAATGTAGTGCTAAAACAACAAATCATGGTGAGATCTGGAGCATGGATGACTAACTATGTGAAGGTAAGTCAAGATTATAATTATCGACCTGGGTGGAAGACGAGTTGACATGTTGGGAGAAATACAGGAGTCTAATGTAACTAATTCTTTTTATGCATATTATCCTGAACAACCAAAAACCATCTTCAGACATTTTACTGGGAATTTAATGCAAAGTGAATGTATAGAAGATATTCTATTGTTAATTTCAGCAAAGAACGAAACCTCATATGTCGTACTGGGGAATTGTGCGCTTTCACCCCCTGTGGTTAACCCGTCTCCAAACAGCACCGTCATCGTCGTCGTCGTAGTAGTAGTAGTAGTAGTAGTAGTAGTATCACTATTTATGAATGATTGGGTATTGGTCATGTAACGACGGACGTGATTGGTGGATAGGTTAGCTATAGGTCATATAGGTTGGCAGTTTGGAGATACGGGTTAGTAGGAACTGTATATTACTACCAATCATATAAACAACAACAACAACAATAACAACAACAATAACAGCAACAATAACAAAAACGAAAACAACAACAATAATAATAATAATAATAATAATAATAATAATAATAATAATAATAATAATAATAATAATAATAATAATAATAATAATAATAATAATAATAATAATAATAATAATAATAATAATAATAATAATAAAATAGCATTAATAACAATAAAAAAAAAACCTTCAAATTACTATGGCTAGACGAGAGACATAAACAGTGTGTAGGTAAGGTAGGCAGGAGGGAAGGAAGGAAGGTGGGGGCTGAGGACAAGAAGAACCCAACAGCCGCTCCCAGTCCTTGATCCCCACAACATCTAAGTCATTATCAACTCCTGAGTAAAGTGACATTGTACTCGAAGGTTACGTCATTATATTCAAAGGGTTAACATATCGTACTCAAGATATGAAGTTAATCTAACGAAGGGGTGATATCGTGCTTAAGGTGTTAACATATCTTAATCAATAAGCTAATTCATTGTACTCGGATTACTGGCAACGGTACTCAGTGGGTTAAAAGCATTAGTTACGTCATTAAATTTTCATATAATACTAAACTAATATACATAGACGATCACACCTCACACTAACACAAACCAACACACATCCTTGACCAATGTCGGTCCATTCCCCAAGTCCCTCTCCCCGACCCATCCTCACCACCGGGATATTTATATAATCAAAAGTGACAATTTCGTTTTGGAAAGAAGTGGGGATCAGTGTTGAACAGTGATGAACAGTGCTTAAGCCAGTGAATTCAGCACTAGACAGTACCAAAGAAAGCCGCACCCACCAATAGGATAAGCACCCCTGGGAACTAACCACCATCATCTGACCAGGAGGTGCTAATCCGTCCACCCTGGGAACAACAGAGGGCCGGCCGGCTATGCACCTGACTACGGGATAACAACATCACGGCACAGTGAGGTACTGTGACACCACCCCACACCACATGGTGTCCCCATGACTACGCGAGGTCCTTCATATCAACACCCGAGGACGAGTCAGTATACCACGTGAACATCTCACCACCCGATGTCTCTATGACCACGTGAGGTCCTTCATATCAACACCCGAGGACGAGTCACTATACCACGTGAACACCACACCACCCGATGTCTCCATGACCACGTGAGGTCCTTCATATCAACACCCGAAGAAGAGTTACTACACCACGTGAACACCACACCACGTGAACACCACACCACCTGGTGTCTCTATGACCAGCCCAGGCCCGGGCCATCAACTGTAAACTATAATAATTTGTATGTTCAATCATTGTTCCTTCTTCTTTTAGTAATGAAAGCTTTTGTTAAACGACCCACCCACCCCATGTCTTTGTAAGTAATATTTAGCCCTGAGGCTTCTGCGTGGTGATCCTGATAACATTGTTTCCTTAAAATTGCTACAATGTATGAACCATGGGACTACTGAGTCTAAATGGATCCAAACTACAGCTACACATATGAAGATGTTTGGACTAGACCACCTGTACAAAGTTGAGACACAACAGCGCTTCCTGCCACCCTGGCGGACAGTTCCCTTCGATATCACAATACCGACGTATCAGCCTAAAAAATTAATTATACAAAGCATTTATCTCCAACACACTGCCAAATTGAGAGCTCTTGAACACATACACACTCTACAGACTGATGATAATATCACACAGACCATCTACACTGATGGATCTCTTAACACCGCCTGTGGGAGGGCTGGAAGTGCTATTGTTGTGACTCAACCTGACGGTAATATAATTGAGAAAGGAGTTAGAATTAACAACTGGGCATCCACTCTACAAACTGAATTAGTTGCCATACTCACAGCTATTAAATTCATTGAAACCACTGTTACTGACAGTCTCATCATCACTGACTCTCTATCCTCACTACTTGCCCTTGGCACCCTCGACTCAGGTTGTCACGCTCTTGTCTCTGAAGCCAGACACAAATATGCGTGCCTTGTTGACCGGGGTGTCAAGGTCAAACTGTTGTGGATCCCCTCTCACATAGGCCTCATAAAACATGACAGAGTTGATGCCCTCGCCAAACTCGCGTCTAACAAAGACACCGTTGAATACAATTTGGGTCTGTCAAAAAGAACCCTTAAAACTGTAATTAGGAAAGAACTTATTGATGAGTTTGACGCAAGTAGACAAGTGCAAACAGGCACTAGTCGATCCGTAGGTTACCATGATGAGATGTATCAAGTGAAACATGTATATGGAGCAAGTAACAAGATCACTAGATTACAAGATGTTGTAACCGCTAGATTAAGGTTAAGATATAAGTACCTTTGGCAGTATGTTCCTCAAGCTAAATGTAAAGTGTGTGGCCATACATATGGCCACACACTTGAACACTACGTCCTCGACTGTGTGAAGATAGAACCTTTCAGGGACAGGTCCAAGCACACTGTGTGTGAAATGGCACAACACTTCATCTCTAATGGCAAGATAGCCGACATATTAAGATTGTATCCACTTTCTTGCACTTAGTAACTATATCAATTCTCATGTACAGAACCAAATACGCAATGTGCTTGAATACTTCTCACGTAAATGTGAATAACAAAGTGTGAAGCCAGACATACTGCCTCACACGCCTGTTCTCACGCATTTGTGAACAAGTTACCCTTTATGTATAGAACTAAACAAATAATGTAAATGAAATACTGTGTCACATTCAGTGCCATAATATCCTGACAACGGGGGTTAATTATTATGACTCTTTGTAAACTCTACTCTGTAATCCTTTTGCGCTACCGCTCACAGGATGAGTGTGGGGTGCACAATAAAGTAGCCGCTGTCAGCGGCAAAATCAAAATCAATTGTATGTAATAAGTAATTTTTGTCTAATGAATATTTTCAGCCTCCGGGCTGCCGACTTTTTCAATAAACCGTTTGTTATTATTATTATTATTATTATTATTATTATTATTATTATTATTATTATTATTAAGTAGAAGCTGTACAACCAAGAAGAAAATAATTCATATCTAGTACTTAAGCATAATTACTTTCTAGTACCAAGTTTGGAGTCGACATGTAAGAGACTTGACGTTGGAGATGACTCCTTATATCTGCCTCAACAAATACATATAAAGCAATAAAAGTTAATTAGAAAAACGTCATAAGGAAGATAGATGTTCATGAACTTCGAACTGATCGCCTTCAGAACACCGACAGATGACTTCAGTATACAACCTTAAATCTTCCTAGTTAACAGTGACTAAAACACTTATAAGTACGTATCAATGTGTATCTATGTCTTGGTAATAACACATAAATAGTCTAATTATGCCCCGGTGTAGCAGGTATTATTACACCCCCACCAGGTTATGCCCGGGTATGATCTAACCGAGGTCATTTTTAACACCGAGTATAAATTGGCCCAGGTCAGATACCACCCACTTTAGTGCCAAGTACTGCTACACCGCGACCATAGCTTTTAATTCCATGCATCTAATCTCGGTTTGTCTTTCCATGGCCCTCCTATGCCTTCAGTTTTGCCCTGTAATCTTTCTATCATTATTCTCGCATCCCTAATTATATAACCAAAGTAACCCATTGCCCTTAGTCTCTAGATTTCCAATAGTTCTCTCATTATTCTTCTAAATATTAGTAATCCTTCATTAGTTTTCTTATCAGTATAACTTAACTTTAGCGTTTTACAGTAATACATCATTTCACAAGCCTACTTCTAAGTATCTAAGGTAATTATCCGCAATTATATTCCTATCAACACGCTCTGCTACCCTCATTTGATGTCAGGGCGAAACATAGTAGAATTAATGAGTACTTTTACTTTTTACTTTTATCCTCTTCACCACTGATCGGCTCGTCAGCCACTTGGGCGATCGGTCACGTCTCTGTTATGCAGTGTTGGCACACACACACACACACACACACACACCGATAGATATAAGAATAGCACCACCCCATCTACTGTTAAATAATAAACAACTCCTGATTTATGTACTGTACAGCCCTGTAAATGTATTGAACGTATATCATTATGTCTAAATCAAATGTAAGTTTGTATATTTTCAGTCACCGGCTGCAACTCTATTAATAAACCGTTTATTATTATTATTTATTATTATTACACACATACACAGACGAACTACCCCTAAACTA